CATTTAGGCCTCTAGGTCACTGTACAATATCCCATTTTAAAGTGATTTATCACCTTTACTACATCCAGTATTTACTTTAGGACAATCACCAGTCAAATATTTTTGTAAGCATTATTGAGAGTTGTGTCCTATTTCTCACAGACTGTCCAACTTTTGGGGTGGCCCATTTCTCCCCACGACCCCATTTTAATTTCTTAATTGCTGAAAAATTTAAAAGATATGGAAAGTGTCTTATCATGTCTTATTATTATATAAGATGTCTTTTAGAGGGCGCTGTATAGCTGTCGCCAGTTGTGTCTTGTGGTGTGAACAAACTTACCTTATATTTCACTATTTCCTGCAAATCTCTTCTGAAGATTCTTGGACTATTTGTTGTTTAACCTGTTTGGACAATTTATAGCAAGGTATGGATCTATTCCGAATCATCGTTTTTGTGCATTTTATGAGTTTGTATTTGCTGACATTGTCGATTAACTATATCGTAGTCACTTACACGGCAAAGCATATAAGGGGTCTACACCCTCGTAACCCCTTTCTTATGCAAAGTACTGACGCGGACTTAACAATGGAAGGCGTTCACGGCTACCGCGGGACTGTGATACGGTACTCAGCCGATGAACTGCTCCGATTACGTAATACCGTCGCGTCAAATCAAATGTTGCCGGAGTGGCGTGGCGTTGCTAAGGAACTTGGTATTGAAAGACGGAAACGAGGAAGGAGAGGTAGCCAGCATATTCGACGCCCAATCAAACCAATTGTGAATTATTTTGATAGAGAGCACTCTACGATTCAGTCTCGGAATGTAGATCAAACAAATTTGGTGGAAATAAGAAGAACCAAACAGAACAGAGATCGTTCGAAAGTATCATTCCCATCGTTTATCATGTGCAATGCAAGATCTTTGAACAATAAATTTGATGAGTTTGAGGCCTATGTATCGTGTATAAAGGCTGACGTTGCCGTAGTAACCGAAACTTGGTTTGCGGGTAATTTATCAAAAGACAATGTCTCCATAAATGATTATGACTTGTTTGCGAAGTCGAGGTCTCATCGCAGAGGAGGCGGAGTAGCTGTATATGCACGACAGTTCCTGAAACCTGAGCCAATGTCAAGTGTCGCCGTCCCTGATGACCTTGAGGTTGTGTGGATCAAGCTCCAGCCACAAAGACTTCCCCGCTCTGTTTCCATGGTGGTGGTTGCGGCAATATATCATCCTCCTAATGCCGCGACTGCTGACACCCTGATCGACCATTTGCTGCACTCGATGGACGCCATTGCATCTACACATCCAGAGACGGGTTTCATCTTGTTGGGGGACTACAATGAGTTAGACATCTCGACGCTAACCGCAAACAGGGGGTTCCGACAAGTTGTCAGTGTACCAACAAGAGGTGACCAGATTCTGGACAAGATAGTCACCAATATGTCAGTCTACTATAATTCCCCAACAACTCTACCCCCATTGGGCTCCAGCGACCACCTTGCGGTTTCCTGGATCCCTACCCAATATTCACCGAAGCCCAATCGCACAAGAACTCGGATTGCAAGACCAATCAAAGACAGTGCTATTCGCGAATTTGGACAGATTCTCCAGAACTATGACTGGTCTCCAGTTTACCAAGCCGAGAACACGAACGACAAGTGCGATACGTTCTATTCCACACTTCTTCCATTGATTGATGAGTATTTCCCCTTAGTTGTTGTCAAATGCCACGACAATGACAAACCATGGATTTCCCCTAAGATCAAAGCCCTTATTGGTGCACGTCAGCAGGCTTTCACTGAAGGTTCGAACAAATGGAAAGGACTGAGGAACAAAGTAAATAAACTAATCAAAGGGGCAAAATCTGAGTTCTATGTCGGACGCGTGCGTTAGATGAAGGAGAGCAATCCATCTCAGTGGCACAAGAACATCAAATCAATGGCAGGAAATAAGCCCAGATCACCTGTCATTGAGGTCGAAGGGATCGACGAGTCAGACCTCGCTGGTATTGCTAACACGATCAACAGGTTCTTCGTCAGCATAGCTGAAGACATCGGTAGACTCGATCTGACTGATCTCCCAACCTATCTCCCTGCTCTGCCGCCGCCTGTTATTAAACCTTGGGATGTCTACTGGGAATTGCAACATCTTAACAGACGGAAAGCTCCCGGTCCAGATAGCATCCCAGCTCGGATCATTTCCGAATTTGCGTTAGAACTGAGTAGCCCTCTTACGGCCATTTTCAATGGATCTATCAGAGAATCGGGGGTGCCACACCGCTGGAAACGTGCAATTGTGGTACCTATCCCCAAGACCTCCAAACCCACCATAGGAGACTTGAGACCGATATCGCTCACAGATCATTTCGCAAAGATCCTGGAGAAATTCATCTCAAAGTGGCTGGTGGGTGACATTGGATCTGCGATTGACAAGTCGCAGTACGGCAATAGGAAGGGCTACTCGACTGCACATTATCTGATAGATATACTAAATAACATCCATCGGAATGCCGAAAATCCGAAAACGGTCACAACACTGGTGGCTACAGATTTCAACAAAGCTTTCGACAAGATAGATCATGGACTGGCGGTTAGGAAACTACTCGAAATGGGGGCATCCCCGTCTTTGGTGGCATGGATTTCCAGCTTTCTTTCCAATCGAGAACAATGTGTGCGCTACATGTCACAGCTCTCAGACTGGATGGAGATCTCAGCAGGTGCCCCACAGGGCACTCGACTTGGGCCGCTTATCTTTCTCTGCATCATCAACGACGTGTTCAAGGACAGTGATGTTCAGTGTCGAAATACGTCGACGACCTCTCCCTACTCGAATGTAGGAAGGCAACGGATCAACCCAAAATCCAAGAAGTGGTAAATGAACTTGAGAAATGGACCAAAGACAATAGCATGAAACTGAACCCTAGCAAATGTGTCGTCATGAACATTCAGTTCATGAGAAACCAGGCAATCGTCCCAAAGGTAAAAATTGGTGACCTGGAAATAAGTGAAGTACAACTAGTTAAACTTTTGGGTGTGTTTGTACAGGAGGAATTAAAATGGTCATATCATGTCACAGAAATGCTCAAGGCGGCAAGCATGAGGCTACACATGATGCGTATCTTGAAAGGTTTTCGGCTACCTGTTGAGGATCTGAAAGTTGTGTATTGTTCGTACGTGCGCCCGAAAGTCGAATACTGCGCACCTGTGTGGCATTCAGGTCTGACTCGGGCAGACAAGAAACTGATAGAGAGAATTCAGAAACGAGCGTGTTGCCTCATGCTTGGCCAAAGATACACGAGTTATGATGATGCCCTCAATGTTCTTGACCTTCCCACACTGGAGGAGAGGAGGGAAAGGTTAAAGAAATTTGCGAGTAACCTCACAAAGGAAACGTCCCCCTTCTATCACTGGCTCCCCCTACGCGAGCTTCCCGCACTTTCCGCAACCTGCGCAACGCTAAAGACTATTCAGAAATAAAATGCAAAAATGAGCGCTACAGAAAGAGCGCACTCCCCTTCATTGTGAGGTTACTCAATTAAAAACTGGAATAATGTAAAGACAGATCTCTTGTTCTTAATGCTAAGCATTTACGTAAATCAAATTGTTATCTTATAGATGTGCTTGAATGATAAATTATATTGTTTACTGAAGGTACATGTTTTGTTTATACGGATTATACTAATTTCAATATTGCATTACCAACCATATTCTCTATTAGCCAATAATAGGAAGTGAAACTATAATTTCTCCATTCGTCTTATGTGAATTATATGTCCATTTTATTCTCCATATACATGTACCTTACACCCATATGACAATAGGCCTACTTTGAAGCATGCAAAACAGATAATTTTTCTTTGCACTGATCATAATTTATTCAACTATTATATTCTTCCTATGAATTTTCTCAAGTCATATCATAAAACACTTATTTTTCCACATCCATTACCCACTTCCGTTATCCCACCATCGATATTCTTTGATCTAAGGTGTACCTATAATTGTTTGTTATGATGTACTATTTTTAATGACTTTGTAATACTATTGTATTTTGTGCAGTATCCTTGTGTTATCACTTATGTAAATTGCACTCAATTCAGCCGAAAGGCTGCCATGTACAATGTTTTTTATACCACAATAAAAAAAATTAAAAAAATATTGTACATTATTACTGGTATTAGTATGAAATACCATTTAAAAGTGATATAGACTACCGGTATATACAATTAATATTTACAAAGTAAATGAAGTTATGAAGTAATAAGTCTCACGTCATGATTCGTGTTCCACCTCACCTGTGCATCATCATCATCATCATCATCACCCTCATCATCATCATGACCATCATCATCATCATCATCACCATCATCATCATCATCATCACCATCATCATCATCATCATCACCATCATCATCACCATCATCATCATCATCATCATCACCATCATCATCATCATCATCATCACCATCACCATCATCACCATCACCATCATCACCATCACCATCATCATCATCATCATCACCATCATCACCATCATCATCACCATCACCATCATCATCATCATCATCACCATCATCATCACCATCATCATCATCATCATCACCATCATCATCATCATCACCATCATCATCATCATCATCACCATCATCATCATCATCATCACCATCATCATCACCATCATCATCATCATCACCATCATCATCATCACCATCATCATCATCATCACCATCATCATCATCATCACCATCATCATCACCATCATCATCATCACCATCACCATCATCATCATCACCCTCATCATCATCATCACCACCATCATCATCATCATCCTCATCATCATCATCACCACCACCACCATCATCATCATCATCATCATCATCATCATCCTCATCATCATCATCATCGTAATATTCATCACCCTCATCATCAAACATGTCAAAATGTATACGTCATTGAACCGTCATTCACGAAATCCTATCGATTAAAAAGAATTTAATTGAAACATCAGGGACACTTACCCCGTTTATGACCAGATCAAATAGATGTGTGATTCTTGGTGCCATTTCAATGAGGAGCGTTCGATTTAATCCATCTAGACTACACGATTCGATTCGATTTCCCTCGGGCAGAGCATCTACCCAGAAAACTCTGGAAAGTTAAAGAGAAATGGTAAGATTTCACAATATCAGAAGACATCCAGGATCAGGAGCGTTACTGAAGTAGGTTTGGACACCGCCATTCAAGAATTTCTGTCGACAATGTCCAGTTTCTAGAGTCCGAAAGATAAACAGTTATTATTTTGTCTAAGTATTCTTTATCAATTCCCTTGACTGATTTAAAATCTGTAAGGTGTTTTTGAAATAATTTAAATCACATTTATTGGTTGGTTGTTTGTTTAGTTAGTTGGTTCGTTATTTTTGTTAGTTTGTCTTTTATGTATGTCTGTTGTGCTGTATTTCTTTTCTTTGCTTATTTATGTTTTGTTTTGTTTGTTGTTTGTTTTTTTTTGGGGGGAGGGGGATTGTTCATTTATTTTGCAATGTTGCTTGTTCCGCCTGCTTGTATATGCAAAATGGTATCCTAACAGCACCCCCCCCCCGGCTTTGTTCCAACCTGTCTATCGACGACCCCGAATACATAGGCCGATGCAGGACTGTCAGGAGGGGGTGAAACCAGAAGGTCGGTCAAATATCTTGGTTTGGTCAAATATCTTGGGTTTGAATGTAATTATAAGAGATAACCGATCATTTATGTGTTTAATGAAAGCATAATGATTTGCCCTTTTGACTGTGCTTGACTGCAGAGGGTTTTCCCCGAATTTTTCCGAAGGTTCATTTTTCTGAAACACACATTTCCCATACCAGCGGATCATAATTCTGAAAATGATACAGCATTCATAATCCCGTAAGTGGTAAAACGATACAGGATTCTATTTATTTTTTAGAGTTATGAATCTTCGGAATTATGAACTCTTTCTTTTAAGAATTATTAACAATCTTTCATTATCAGAATTACCGACCCTATTTCATTTTCGGACAAACAAACCTACGTAAAATGACATCGAACCTATTACCTGATAGCGGTGAGGCACATACATTAATAATGATAATGATATGAACAGTTGGAGACTCGTTATTAATAGCCATTATATTATTCAAGATTAGATAGTACATGCCGGTATTGGATTTCAAATAATCAAGTCACAATGTACAAACGAGCATCAAGCTGAAGTCGATATATACCAATTGGGTAAACAGCAATTTCCTCTTCCTTCTGATGCATTTCGAGTGAAAGACTGTGATTTTATTTATTAGGAAAATCTATCGTAAATAGAGAGTATTGGTCATTATTACTATACTATTTCATATCCATTGAACAATTCATTACGCTATATATCATAGACATCCGGCAAATGGACATTAGGCAGGGGATCGCTAAAGTGGAACCAAACTTCCACTGATAACGTCCTTCTACCGGGCACGCCAAATAAAGTACCTTTCTGATTGGCTGTCCACGGTAATCCCATTTGGAAAGTGTATGCTGGTGTTAACAAGAGTCATTCTATCTTCTCCTGCAAGCGTTGACCTCTCAATTCGCCTTTCCTCTCCCCAATCTGACCAGAATAGATATCTAAAACAGAAATTGTGGATTGTGTATAAAGTCAATGAACGAGATTACAATATTTAGTACGAATATGTTACATAAACATACATCGGTTTCTTTTTAGAACAAAGCCATCATTGAGCTGATAATTATCATATGAACCATTAAAAGTATACTGTAAATGGTAGCATCAGGATTATTACTAAGACAACTATCACCACCACCACTGCGGTTGCTGCTGCTACTCCTAGAATTAATACTAAAGGTGTAGTAGCAGAAGTACTACTGTTACCACTACTACCACTACTACTACTAGGCTTACTGCTACTACTACTACTACTACTACTACCAGGGGCGTACGCAGGATTTTTCAAGGGGGGGGGGTTTTAAAATCTGGCCCAAAATATTTCCAAAAGGGGGGGGGGGTTTAGGGAAATTTAGGGGGGGGGTTTACACACAAAAATTACCAAAGGGGGGGGGGTTTAACCCCCCAAACCCCCCCCCCCCCCCCCCCCCTGTGTACGCGCCTGACTACTACTACTATTACTACTACTACTTCTACTCAGGCCCGGAAATTATGGGAATGCAAGCATTACTTTAAACAAACAGAACTTTGTTATTCCTGTGAACATTTGGTATATATACCTCTACATCGTCATGATTGTGATTAAACTTTACCAGGGATGACAGCAATATTTTGTTCTCTCTTTACGTAGTACAAGATACTGATTATGTTACATACTTTGCAGGTTGGTGGGATAATAATAATAACAATAATAATAATAATAATAATAATAGCCTAATAGTCCACTCCAAATTTTATTAAACCGAAACGGAAATTCTTTTTGCCCAATTGAACGTGAGCCCGGCAGCCACTGAGCATGATGGTATGAATGTTAATTTATGACCCCCCCCCCCCCCCCACATGAAAAATTACAAGTTGAGCCTGAGTAGAGAAACGATATATCGATAATCTTACCCTTTTTGTGGGAAAGTCACGATTCCGCGTGGTTTTTCTAATCCGGTATCGATTAGGATCCTAAGATAATTAGCATTGTAATCCGATATCATAATCCAGTCGTAAGCACTGTCAGCCCAGTACACATTTTTCGCCATCCAATCAACGGCCAGTCCTTCGACAGATGTCGATGTTCCCGTAAACAGACTGGTTGCCTCGGACCCGTCATCTAGCCCGCCTCTGTAGATAGTCCTGTTGAGCGTTGAGGACCAGAAGACAGTTCTATTGGCATAGTCGCCAGCAATGCCAACGAATTGGGCATTGCTAGCTCGGTAGTGGTACGTCGTGGTGACGTCGCCAGGGGTTATTAAGTTAACGGGTAAACTGTTGATTCGAGCTTCGCGACCCGGCGAACTGAACAGCTCAGCCCATACTAGGCGGTCTTCAGAATTAGCAAAATCATTGATGTTCCGGGGTTCACTCTCACCTGTATAAAAGGCGAAAGAAAAAAATATGAGCCTTCAATTTTTAAGAGGTAACTTGTAATCGTAACATTGACCAAATTTCAAAGCCTTTCGCAACAATTTTCTGGTCGCGTGTCGTCCCAATCGTCCCAATCTATCCGAACTGGAATTTACGTTGGGAAAACAACTCTTACCAGAGGACAAAGATCTCAAGGGCACTTCCCTGCTTAAGATGACACCCAGTCTTGCGCCGTAGCAATACGGATGACAGTACAGTAACAGTAGGCATATCCAGATGCGTACGCAGGGAGGGGGGGGGGTTAACCCCCCCCCTCAATTTTTTATTTATTTTTTTTAATTCCAATTTCCGGGACAAAAAAAAAAGTGTGCTCTTTCCACCCCCCCCCCCCCCCCGCCTATTCACCCAGCCGCTGAGTCGTTGCGAAATTTTCGGCGCGATTTTTAAATTTTAACCCCCCCCCCCTCCCCCCCCCCCCTTCGAAAAAATCATGCGTTCGCTACTGGGCATAATTTTATCTATGGTTAGGGTTAGTGTACTGTAAGGGATAGTGTTAGGATGTGATTAGGTGTAGGGTTATAATTACGGTTATGGTTAAGATAGTTGTTATTGTAAGTTTTATGATAAGAGTTAGGCATTGGTTAGGGTTATATAGGGTGATAGAGATACACTAAATTAAATAGTTGACCCTAACCGTCAGTGGCGTAATGAGCAAAAACTTTTGGGGGTCAGAACAAAATCCGCATCACGTCTTCCAAAAGGGCACTTTCTAGAAAAGAGGGAATCGTTAAAAAAAATACCCCACTTTTAGAGTTTGGTATATATCCCTACATCGTCATGGTTGTGATTACGCTACCGGGGAGACATCAATGCTTGTTTCTTTTTTTTACGTGATACAAGATTTAAGCAACATACTTTGCAGTTGGGTGTGATGGTCTCAATATTAATTTTTGAGCGAGTGAAGCGAGCGATCAAAATTTAAAGATTTGTGAAGTATCAGTGCGAAAAATTACATCTTATAAAGGAAACAAAAAATGAACCTTGATGAGTATTGAGCACAATCTAACGAAGAAAGACTGAAAAGATCTTCAGTAACCTAATTATAACATCTATACATACGAGTGAGTGTAGCAAGAGAGCTCTAGTGAAAATAAAAGAAAAGTGGGCTCTAAGTCGCCTTGAATTAAAGGTGCATGTTATGGAGAAAGGAATAGTAGGCCCTTATCAAAAGGGAAAAGGACAATTAGAAAGGAGAAGGTGCGCGTGTCAAAGTAAAAAGGGCAATCATCAGAGATGAAAATGGCACTGAAGAGAATGGAAAGGAGGAATCTGTTGAAGGAAAAGGGTACATATCAGATTTTCATAGGGGCCTTTTGAAGCGGGTCATATAAAAAAGGAAAAGGGGCACTTATCCGAAGGAAATATGGTACTTATTAGAAAGGAAAAGGGGCACGTGTCAAAATAAAGGGGCACTTATCAGAGGTGAAAAGTGGCATTTAAGAGAAGGGAAGGGGTTCTCATTACGAAGGAAAAAGTGCACTTATTAAATGGGAAAAGGGGCACGAGTCAAAGTATAAAAAGGGCAAAAATATCAGAGGAGAAAAGGGGAATTTCTCGCACCTGAAAAGGAGTACTCGCCAGAGATGTAAAAAAAGAGCAAAAAGGACACTTATTATAAAAATAAATGGACACTTGTCCTTTGTCAAATAGGGCATTTTGGGGGTACCTGATGTGCAAAAGTGAGAAGGACAAAACCGGAAAATAATGTTATTTCAGCAACATTTCTTGCTCGTTCGCTCTAATTCCTGCACATCGCTGCGCTTCTTCTCATAAAGAAATGTAATTTATCAAAGTTAGTCGGCAGAATATAAATTTTGAACATCTCTGTTTTATAGCCGCTATCAATAAGTCTATGGTCGCTAAATTCCCTTGAATATTACATGGTAAGACGATGTTATGGCCCACACTCATCTCTAAACGGTGGCCAAAATGGATTATTTTAACCACTTAGTACATGTAAACCAATGTTTATTCATGAAGTCTGAAGGGACCCACACCATGCCACTGCAATTCTGATGTTAACCATAATATCATACCTACTGCCAGTTAACAGCTAAATTATTCATACCCTAACCAACATTTTATAATTTGTTTAAGTATGTGAAAGATTGATTTGTCCCGATTAATTTTTCTTGAGAACGTGCCATATTAAAACTAACATCTAAAAATATTCAATCCACCTTCATTCTTGAGTTACGAAAAAAGACCCTCAAACATCAAATTTACAAGGGTTATGAATAATATAGCTGTTAACTGTATATTAGTTGTACCAATATGTAGGGGGAAATAAGTTAATATTTTATTCAGTATTCTCAAATTACTATGAACATAATCACCCGCTTTCCACTGTGGTGATGATTATTGATGTGTGGAATATTTAGAAATACATACTAATACATTTTTTTCCTTTCAATTTGAACATACTCCTAAAAATAAAATCACATTTTCCATTTCGTGACACACGTATGTTCACGGACCTTATGTATTTTCATTTGAGTCAAATTGGTAGGAAGTTTTCAAGACGAAAAGCGAAAAAATAGGTTCTTGAATAATCCACTATTCAGAAAACAAAAGGAAGCTTTATAACCATCCATTAGCAGACAGCAGGCGATACCTGTATATCACTTGTAACTACTAATACGTACGTACTACCCGAATTAATAGGGACTTTTAGATTTGCGTGGACTGATGCTGTGACGTCCATTCAAGGCAGTGCATTAAGAGGACGTCAACCGTAGCAATCCACAATGTCTTCGGGCGAATCTAAAAGTCCCTACTAAAAACCAGTAAAGCGGGACTTTCGTGATCTGTTATAGAGTCTGGTCTTCATGCGACTTCCTTCCTTCTGGTACTTAAGGTCGACAAGGAGATTATTTATCATGTAACAGGAAGTAGGCTTAGATGTTGGTGATATTGATCTATCACAAGCGTGTCACCACTAGAAATAGATCAATCTTACCCAGTTCAAGGCAAAAGATCCGGAAAAACTCTTTAATGAGGAAAACGATCGTCATAACAAGCATGCCAAGCTAAATAAAATACAAGCCACTCGATGAGAGAATGAATGTTTATGTTTGAAATGACATGCCATTTTGTTAAGTGGTTTCAGCGCTAATCTTCATATCACGAATTGACGATATTCAACAGCTTATCTATTGTCCTCTTCATTGGATTTATGTTGGAATCTACGTGAATAGGCTTACACCATACCATAACGCGTGCACTCTCTCTCTCTCTCTCTCTCTCTCTCTCTCTCTCTCTCTCTCTGTATGATTATGGAGGTATTCATATTAATCTCTCTATTTCTTGAAATTTCATGAAATATGTATTTACTTATAGCATTATCGTCACTCCACTTTTTGCTGTTCACGTGGCAGGACATTATGTACCTAAAAACCTTCGCAAATAGGTACTCTTGGAAGACGACCCGGACAACCAGCCCCTTCGGGGGGGGGGGGAACAAAATCATACCATAATGTGGCATCTTTGCTTATGATAGTTGGCCTCTGCATTTATCTTGATTATTTTTACTTACCCCCATACTTTCAAGCTTTCAATTATGCATTTTTATTTGTGAGTATTAAGTTGTCACTCTTTATGTAAATCAATTATATTGTATACTATTATTGTTATTTGAATATTTTATATCTGATTGATCAATAAATGCAGAAACATCTGCTAAAAAAAAAAAAATTGAATTTTTTTTTATAAGGGACCAGCCCTGTACAACCCCTAGCTTTATATTTATCCGCCCCGTATCCGTCACGCCAAAGTTCTCTTACATTTGTAGTTCCAGTAGTGGGGGCGGAAAAAAGCTTATCCTGTCACATCTATAATACATGTAAGATGAATGCAAGAACCCCAAGACCCCTAAAGACCCTCCCCAAAATAATATTCTAAAACCACTCCTGCGTATAGTTCTTTCACGTGAACTGCTTACATGCCCTGTATCTCTCGAGGGTCTGTCAGAGTACACGAGGGAAGTGATCAATGCATCTGCAAAACCGGATATGATAATGAAGATATGACCTATTCCTGAAGGTCTTTAAGAAGGGTTCGGCAACGTGAGAAGGTTTCTACTCCATGTTCTGTTCTCACGAAATATCAAATAGCATCACTGCTTCCTCAACAACCGAATCACACATATTTGATTGTATATTACAACAACAACAAAAAAATTATACTCAGACAAATACTTTTTGTATTAATAAAATATAAAAAATAAAAACGATTATTTGTTATGGAAACTTTTAGTACTCCCCCAGATTTCCAGGGTTAGTTATCCGGCGGTCATGTTGGAAGCTGTCAAAGGACTCAGATCATGGGCAGTTGTCTAGAGGGTAATTTCCCGATGATTGTTGACCGGGATGGTAGTCCCAAGAGTAGTTGTATTAGAATCAGATTTTTAGATTTATATGCTGGCTTGTTAATACATTTTCTCTTATAAGGAGCTAACAACGATAATGACACCAACTTAGCTCAGCACATCTTTGAATGGGGTGCTTCCTAATATGTACTCCTTCAAATACTTGTATTTGTTTCCAGTTAGCACTGTTAGAAGCAAGTTTAAAAATCAAAGTTGTGGTCACATTTTCCTCGAATCTATATCCCCCTCGCTACTTTGTTAATTATGTTTTTTTTTAAAGCTGAGATGTGGCGGAATTCGTATCAAGATTTGTGAGGAGAGGGCGAAATGTTGGATCGAGTATTTATCTCAGGAAGACGATTATCAAAAGTGCAACCAGCCAGGTTTGCCCCTCCCAGACTCACTGGGAAATGAGAAATCATTTAGTTCAACGATATTTTTTTGGTAAGGATGCGGTCGGTTCACACTGGGTTCACCCTACAAGCTACAAATTGGGTCAGGACCAGTCTCTTGTTATAAGGCAGAGCGATACAGAAAGAGAAAGTGTGAAAGAGTAAGAGAGAGAGAGAGAGAGAGAG